CAAGGAAAGAATATGCAAACTTTTGACAAAGTCATGCCAAATCACTTATAAAGGCAAACCCATCAGAATAATTACAGATTTCCCTACAGAAATACTAAAGGCCCCGATAATATGGAATGATGTATTTCAAATCCTATAACAGAATATTATTTCCAGTCTAGATTACTATATCTAGTAAATATGTCCTTCACAATTGAAAGAGAATTAAAGAATTTTCAAGATAAGTGTAAAATAATGCAATACACGACCACTAAGCCAACAAGGTAGAGAAATTGTACATATGGAAGGATAAGACTAGATAGCCAAATGAGAATTAAGAGAGTCAAACAGCAGAAAAACAACAACATGAATTAGTACAAACCTCACTAATTCTGAATGTGTATGCTTTTAATTCTTTAGTTAAAAGATCAGACTGGCAGTTTAGCCTAAAAACAAGATCTAATTCTTTGCTTCCTGGAAGAAATACAGCACATAAGCCAAAATATGCACAGATGAAAAGTGAAAAAACAGAGAACAATAATCCATGCAAATGGAATCCTTAAAAAATAGCAGGACTAGTTATATCTAACAAGGTAGATTTTAAAGCTAAATTAGCCAGAAAAGACAAATAAGGTCTTTACGTATCTTTAAAATGAACAGCCCACCAAAAAATATTACAAATATAAATATATGTTCCACAAACATTGCTGTGCCCAACTTAATAAAACAAATGCTACTTGACCAAAAGGAACACATAGACCGCAAGCACAATCTATGTGATTTTAGTTCTCCACCCACACCAATGCATCAGTCATCCAGACAAGAAACACCAACAAAAAAAACATCAGAGGTAAATTATACCATAGATCCAATGGAATTTTAGACATTTACACAATATTCCATTCAGCACCAGCAGAATTCAGTCTTTTCACCAGTCCCTGCAACATTTCTCCAAAACAGATCTTATTTTACACCATACAGCAAGCCTTTTCACATAAAAAAAATGTTTGCACTTAATCAGATTGCAGTGAAATGATACTAGAAATTAGAAGCAGAGGAAACTACAGAAACAGGCACATGGATATTGAACAATTCAATTTTGAATGGTCAGCTGGTACTGAAGAAACCAACAGGAAATTTTAAAAATTCCTAAACTCTAACCAAAAAAAAAGCAATGTAAATAAACCCTACCAGAATCTCTGGATACAGAAAGGCAGTTCTATGAAGGAACTTTGTAGGCATGAGTACCGGCATAAAAAAATCAGAAAGATCACGCACACACACACACACACACACACACAACCAAATCGAATGATGCATTGCTTAAAAAGTAACAACCATCCCAGTACTGGGGGGAAAAAAAGAAAGAATCAAAAAAACCCACATGGAAAAACCCAAGCAAATCTAAACCACCTTCAATAAGGATAGAAATAACAAAAATCAGAGATAAAATTAGGAAAATATAGGCTAAAAGAACATAGAAGATCATTGAAAGAGTTGCTTCTTTGAAGAAGTAAAAAGTTCATTAAACCATTAGCCAAACTGAAGAAACTAAACCAAAAGAAAGAAGACCCAAAATTACAGGTGAAAAAGGAATATAACAACAGATACCAGTATATTTCAAAGTAGTTAGAAACTACTTTGAAAAGCTGTATTATAATAAATTGAGAAATATATACAAGGCATGAATAAATTTCTAAACACATTCAAACTACCAAAATTAAACACATTCAAACTACCAAAATATGAAACCAGGAGAATATAAATGCCTAAACAGAAATCAGTAATGAGCCATGCAATAAAAGCAGTAATAAAAGATCTACCAATAAACAAAAACCAAAACCAGACTAATTGCTGAATTTTACCAAATTTTTAGGGATTCTTCTAAAAACTAACACCAATGTTCATCACACTAGTTGAAAAAACTGGAAGGGAAGGGATGCTTTCAAGTTCCTTGTATAAAAATCAACTCAAAATGATCCAAAACCTATACATAGAGCTTGAAACCTTTAAACTTCTGAAGGAATCTTTGATAAAACTCTTGAAATTACAGGCACAAGCAAAGACTTCCTGAGTAGGATACTAGCACAGGAAATAATAGCAAGAATCAACAAATGGAACTACATCAAATCAGAAGGCTTACTGAACAACAAAGAAAAAAACAATCAGCAAGTGAAGAAATAGATTACAGGATGGAAGAAAAGCTACTATTCCAAACCAGGATTACTACTTAGGATACATAATAATTCAGAAAATATACCTGTACACAAGTGAGAACACATACACATGCACATGGTGCACACCCAAGTAACCCAATCAATTAATTGGCAAATGAGTCAAAGAGACACTTCTCAAAAGAATGGAAATGGACAATAAGCATGTGAAGAAAAGTGTAACATTTTTAGCGATTAAGGAAATATGAATCAAAACTACATTGAGATTCTATCTCATCTCAGTGAGAACAGCTATATTCAATAATGCAAAAATACGCTGCTGAGGATGTGGGGGGATGGTAGTAAACTATAATACTATTTTAATTTCTTTACTCTAAAATCTTTTAAAGTCCTACGATATCAAGTTTTGGAGAGAATATGGATTTGTATTTTCTATTCCATCACCCAGCAATTTGTGCAACTAAGAAAATTTTTGCACATATACTGCAATATGCGTTTATAGAAATCTTCATAACTGAATCTCTGTGGTTATGTGCTTATCTAGCATGAATAAGGCCCTTGATTCTAGTCCTCATATGGAAAGGGATAGACAGAAGAGGAGAAGAGAGGTGAAGGAAAGACACAGGAGGAAAAGAGAGAGAAGAAGGGAAAAATGGGGGAGAGATAGAGACAAGGCAGGTAATGGTGTGGGGGATTAGGAGAATGAAGAAATTTCATAGCAGTATTGTTCCAAGGAGCAAACCTGAAAACAAGTGTAAGTCCATTCTCATAAAAGCAAAAAAACAAATGACATTACATTTGCAAAATGCTATATAGTACTTATGGGTGAATCTTATCAATTTAATATTAAGTTTCTTTAAAGTCCAAGATGGTAACATACAGTCTGATATACTTTTTAAATTAAAAGTACTAATATTTAACAGTATACTTTAAAGGAATACATCTAAATATGGTAACACAATATAAAAAGGAAAGCAATAAAATGAGGAAATGAGGTTCAGGCCAATGGGAATGTCTGATTAGAGGAAGGAGATTGGATTGAAATATAAGGCAAAATGAAGGCTAAAAGTCAAGGCTTTCAAGCTTGTTTGGGATAATGGGCCTACTGGTGTCGATTTCATTATTATAAACCCTGGTTAAATAAAAGTAAGTCATGCATGGGCCCATGATCAGTATATCATATAACAATAATCAAGATTAGTCTACCATCCAATTCTTGGACCTTACATCCAGTTTTAAAAGTTAATATGCATAGTCCTCCTCTCAACATTAAAGTATAAATTAATTAGCTCTCGATAGAATTCAGAATAAGTAACCTGGGACCAAAAATTAATCTTCAATAGGAAAAAGTTATCAATCTATCAATCCAAAAACAAAAGTCCCATTCCTTATGAAATACATTACAAAATCTATCTTATGGGTAACAAAATATTAGTACATAAGCTTTACTACTTTTTAAAGTGTCTTTTAAATCCACTGCTTCTATGAGCCCAAAGAGACTAAAAAGAGTTAAAGCTTATGAGTGAGTCTTGGAAAAAGTATAAAGACCAAACTTACTCTTGTTTTTCCTTATACAAATTCTACTGTGTATTTTTTCACCAAGGACACCAGGTTTGCTTTTATTAAACACTCACTGAAGTAGTAAATTTCCTTATTTGGTCTCTCCAAATGTCTAGATTTGATAATTCTTTAGCCTTATCAGCTCATTTTACATGGAAAATCATAAAAATACAGTAATCACTTATATAAAAAGCCATACAAATACCTTCATTCACAAAATTTTATAATATTTTCTGTGTTAATATTTCTGTGTTTCTGTGTTTCAAGTTTTCAATACATTCCTGGATGAATTAATATTAGTATTTACCCACTAATCTTTACCATTAATTTCACTCAGGTCTGTGCTACTCATTGATCCCTAAGAAACACAGAATCAATCTTAGCTGGAAAGAAGTTTATTCAAAGCCAGGTCCAAAATAGGTGAAAGATCCTCTTATTGCCTCTAACCTTGATCTGCCTGTGTTCAGGTATGCAATGACTTCAGAGTAAGAAAGAGCCAGGAAGGAAATAGAGTGATAATGTTAACAGGAGTCCATAGCAGAGGAAATCTTCTCAGTAAGGTGTGGGACATTCTTGGCCCCTCTTCATTCCTCTAACCAAAATCTGTTTTCAACCTCCTGAGTTTAGCACCTGCATTGTCTTTTCAAATTGCCATTCTTCTCAGAACATTCACACATACAGTATAAGCTGAGATGGGCTGGCAGATGGGACTGTGTTTACAGGGGCTTCTCTTTGGAAATTAGAATGCAAAAAGATATGGGTTGCTAAGGCACCAGGAGGAGAAATGAAGTTTTGGGGCGGGAGGAGGCTTCCTTGAAAAGAGAAGTCAGATCTGTTACATAATGATGTTCAATTTCTAATTCTAGTCATTCTCCTGTCATAAAGTGATGATAGAAATTGTTCCAGATATTTTTTCATCACTATTAGTGACTATCAATCTTCTTGTTCAATTGAGAGTTAAGCTCTCTTCATAAAAACAAAGTAATGTAGACATTGTATGTACATCATATGAAAAATGGCAAAAATAAGATTCAATTAAAATATTGAAATGACTATCTTCATTTTAAAATAAGTTTATTTAATACAAAAATATAAAAATATAATATGAATTTTTGGTGACAGTCCTAAGGGAGAAAAGTGAATGAGTGACTGAGGTGTACCTAGCCATTGTTCAAGTAATCAGATCAACTACAATGGCTTTTTTTCTTTAATATCTTCTGAGAAGGTTGTATCATCAGAAGCTTGGTTCTTTGAAATATTACTTTTAATAGATAAAAAGTCGTGGTAGTGCTTACTTTGGCAGCACATATAATAAAATTGGAACAATACAGAGAAGATTAGCATGGTCCCTGTGCAAGGATAACACACAAATTCATGAAGCATTCTGTATTTTTATAGGGATAAATGATAAAGAAGGTGACAACACAAATATATCAAGAGGCTATTTACAGAAGTAATAGCTGAAAATTTCCCAAACATGAGAATGGAAACTGACATACATATCAGTGAAGCATATAAACTCCAAATAGCCATAACCAAAATAAAACCACACCCAGACATGTAATAATCAATATTCCAGAAATCCAACATAAGAAAAGAATATTAAAAGCTGTTAGAAGAAACAGAGCCCCCTACAAAGGAAAGCCTATCAGAATCACAGCAGACTTCTCAACACAAACAATGTAGTCAAGAAGAAGATGGAGTAAATTATTTCAGGTCCTAAAGGAAAACAACTTCCAACCCAGACTGATGTACCCTGAAAAACTGTCCTTCAAAATGGATGGAGAAATAAGATACTTCCACAACAAAGAATTACTGAAGAATTTCAAGACCACCAAACCCACTCTGCAAAGAATACTGAAAGACATTCTAGACAGAAGTAGGGAAAAAACCACTAAGCAAGGCAGACAATTAAACAGAGTGGAAAGGTAAAGAAGCAACAGCAGAAAGATATCATGTCAAAAATAAACTAATGTATATCAGTTATAACCATTAATGTAAATGACCTCAATTCACCAATTACATGAAACAGACTGGCAGAATGAATCAAGAAACAACATCCAAACATATGCTGTCTACAAGAAACCCATCTAACACAAAAGAAAATGCATAGACTGAAAGTCAAGGATGGAAAACAATACTTCATGCAACAGAACCCCACCCCCCAAAAATGTGAACTTTAAACCAAGAATGATCCGAAGAGATAAAGAAGGTCACTACATGCCAGTTAGGGGAAAACTTCTAAAGGAAGAGATAACAATCTTAAATATACATGCACCAAATTCGGGAGCACTCAGCTATACAAAACAAATACTAACAAAAATGGAAACTCAAATAAGCAATAACACAATTATAACAAGAGACCTTAACACACCATTGACAAAAAGCAACAGATCAACCAGAAAGAAAATCAGCAAAGAAATAACAGAACTGAATCACAACTGTGAGCAAAGGGACTTGGTGGATGTATACAGAGTGTTCCACCCAACAACATCACAATATACATTCTTCTCAGCATCACATGGGACATTCTCTAAAATAAACATATACTAGCCCACAGAACATTCTTAAGTAAATGCAAAAGATTTGAAATTATCCCATGCATGTTATTGGGTCATAGTGCCATGAAACTAGAAATTAATGACAAAAAGAAACTGCAAAAACCTCACAAACACATGGGAATTGGATACACACACCTGTGCAATCAGTGGTTCACAGAGGAAATTAAAGAAGAAATTTAACAATATCTACAGGCAAAAGAATATAGAAATACAATTTACTGGAACCTTTGGGATGCAATAAAAACAGTCCTCAGAGGAAAACTTATTGTGGTGAATTCCCACAACAGGAAAACAGAATGAACACAAATAAACAACCTGATGCTACATCTCAACCATCTAGAAAAAGAAGAGCAAGTCAAGCCCAAAGTCAACAGAAGGGAGGAAATTACAAAGATCAGAGCAGTAATCAATGCAATAGAGATTAAGAAAACAATACAAAGAATAAATGAGTCAAACAGTTGGTTCTTTGAAAGTATAAATAAAATTGATAAGGCCCTAGGCAACCTTATTTTTAAAAAGGGAAGAAAAAACTCAAATTCATGCAATAAGGTATTGGGTCTTGACCTAGATCTCTGAACTCCAAAATGTGTCTATGGCAGAGGCTTAAATAAAATGAGACAAGTGGTATGATTGTAGGGCTCTAGGAGGGTCAAAACCCTTTAGTGAGCTCAAGAGTCTGAGGGCTAAGACAAAGACGTTTCTGGACTGCACATTTTTATTAGGTCCAACAACAAAGGACAGGAAAACTGAGGAAAGTACAGGCAACGAGCAGGATCTTGGGAGTCACTGTAAGGATGTCTCCAAATAATGAATCATGTCAACTTAGTAGAACTCTCTTATCATGAAGACATGGTAGAAGAGAGACAGTAGGAGTAATTCTTGCAGCTTCAGTCTCTATCTACTTAATTGATATTTGAGCCAAGTGTCTGTGTCCTTACCTTGCCCTTTGCAGTATCTGTGGCCTCACAGGCCACCACAGCCCTGATTCATAGAAGTTCACTTATTATGAATCAGCTCCTATCACCAGGAAAGGGGCTGAGACCTAGGACAGACTCATAAATAAACATAGAAAGACAATTAGTCAATGTTAAATCCTGTTTGGAGCTGCTTCATAGTGGTCTCCAACAATAAGGAGTGAAAAGGGTGAAATCACTACAGACCCTGTGGAAATACAGAAGATCATCAACACCTATTTTGAAAACCTCTACTATCATAGACTCAATAACACAGAAGAAATGGACAGATTCCTAGAAACATGTGAATTACCAAAGATGGGTCAAGAAGATGTAAAACTGCTGAATAACCCAGTTTCAACTAATGAAATTGAAAATGTAATTAAATCCTTACCAACAAAGCCCAGGCCCAGACAGATTCACTGCGGGATTCTAAGAAATTCAAAGTAGACTTAATCAGCTCCTCAAACTCTTCAATGAAATTGAAAGGGAAGCAATTCTCCCTAACTCATTCCTGGAAGCAAATATTATCTAGTACCAAAACCTGAGAAAGGCCCAACCAAAAAAGAGAATTTATAGGTCAATCTTCCTAATGAACATAGATGCAAAAATTCTCCATAAAATATTGGTGAACAGAATGCAGTAAATCAACAAACAGATTAGACACCATGACTGAGTGGGATTTACCCCAGGAATGCAGGGATGTTTCAACATATGTAAATCAATAAATGTAATCCACCATATCAATAGAGTCAAAAATAAGAGTCACTTGATCATTTCTCTAGATGCAGAAAAAGCTTTTGATAAGGTCCAACACTTATTCATGGTAAGAACCTAACAGAAAATTGGAATAGATGGTCTTCATCTCAATATAATAAAAGCCATCTATGACAAACCAACATCCAGCATCATATTAAATAGCCAAAAACTGAAAGACAAGACAAGGATGTCAATTATCACCACTCCTATTCAATATAGTGCTGGAAATACTAGCCAGAACAACTAGACAAGAGAGAGAAATAAAGAGTAAGGATAGGAAAAGAAGCAGATATATTATCATTATTTTCAGATGACATGATACTTACATATAAGATCCCCAAAACTCCTAGGTATAATAAATAAATTCAGTAATGTAGCAGGATATGAAGTCAACACTTTCAAAAATCAATAGCATTCCTATACACTAAGAACAAAATCACTGAGAGAGAAATAAGTGAAGCCACACCATTCACAACAGCATCCAAAAAATGAAATACTTATGAATCAATCTAACAAAAGAAGAAAAAGTTCTATTCAAGCAAAATTACAATATTTTGAAAAAAGAAATTGAAGAGAACCTTATAAAAAGGAAAGGCATCCCTTGTTCATGGATAGGAAGAAAAAATATTGTGAAAATGGCCATTCTCCCAAATTTCCTTACAGATTTAATGCAATCCCAATCAAAATACTCCTAACATGCCTCACAGACCTAGACAAAACACTCCTAAAATTCATCTGGAACCACAAGAGACCTAGAATGGCAAAGGCCATTTTAAGCAACAAAGGCAAGACAGGAGGCATCACGGTCCCTGACTTGAAGTTCTACAAAGCTACTGTAATAAAATCAACATGGTACTAGAATAAAAACAGGCCTGAAGATCAATGGAATAGATTAGAAGATACAACTACACCTATAGTCACACTCAGCCACCTTATCTTTGATAAAGGGGCCAAAGAGAAGAAAGATAGTCTCTTCAATAAACGGTGCTGGAAAAATTGACTCTCCCTATGCCAAAAACTAAAACTAGACCTATGCCTATCATCATGTATTAAGCTAAAATTTAAATGGATCAAAGATCTCAATATTAAAACAGAAACACTAAATCTGTTGGAAGACAAAGTAGGTACAAATCTTGAAGACATAGGGGTAGGTAAAGAATTCATGAACAAGAATCAATCTGCATGGGAAATGCTTCACAGAATCAATAACTGGGATCATGCTTTATTAAAGAAGTTCTGCATGTAGAAAGAAATTTCCAGCATAGTGAAAAAAAAACCCACAAATTGGGAAAAAATCTTTGTGAACTGTCCCTCAGACAGAGGACTTCTGTCTAGAACACACGAAGAATTTTAAAAATCAGATCCCCAAAACACAGAGACCCAATCCAAAAATGGGCATCTGAGATGAATACACAGTTCTCAGATAAAGAAATACAAATGGCAAATAAACACATGAAAAAACGTTCAGCATAATTTTAATGTAAATTGAAACAACACTGAGATTCCATCTCACTGCAGAAAGAATGGACAAGATCAAGAAAACTAACAACAACAAATGCTGGAGAGGCTGTGGGAAAAAAGGAACTCTCCTGCACTGTTGGTGGGAGTGCAGACTGGTGCAACCACTGTGGAGGTCAGTCTTGAGATTCCTCAAAAAGCTGGGATTAGAAGTCCCATTTGACCCAGCTAATCCACTTCTGGGAATATTCCCAGAAGAACTGAAAACATCATATCACAGTGACATACGCAAACTCATATTTATAGCAGCACAATTTGTAATAGCCAGATCTTGGAAACAATCTAAATGCCCATCAGTTGAGGAACGAATAAAAACGATGTGGTATTTTTATGCAATGGAGTACTACTCAGCTGTAAAGAATGATCACACTGAGATATTTATAAATAAATGGATGCAACTTGACACCATATTCATAAGTGAAATAAATCAAACTCAAATGCATCAATCTCCCTAGTGTAAGAAATGGTAAGAGTACATAATTTACAAAAACCTCAATAAATACAGTGAAAGCATATAAATCTGCTCAAAGGGGAAAAATAATATTTCAGAGAAAAGGAGGAAAAAGAAAAAGGAAGAGAAAAAATATCTAAAATTATATAAAC